GGATTACAACGAAGCAAAATGCAACAGAGATCTAAAACAGAAATAGCAACCTTCCTATGAGATTTACATAACTCCCGTAGCCTTTCCATACTTAGTTTACAGTAGTTGCAATAAAAACAGAGACAAAAACTACGACAAAAACCCTCATGCTTAAAGGACATAAAACTGAACCAACTTGCATGCACTGTAACAGATATTGTAGAAATCATCACAGAAATAATTTAAAGCATACATATGATTAATTTGATGTATAACATACATGAATGATTTAGTTGTTAATTTCCTTAAAACCCTAGAGCATATCTAGGTGCACAGAACACGGCTCAAAGGGAAAGAGGAAGATAGAACTTGCCTGAATAGGTTTGCAAACAAACCCTTGTTGCCGTTGGTCTCAGTTTTTCCGACATCCACTGAAACTTGTCTAACCTCCTAGAACCTCTGCTCATTCCTTCTCCTTGGTTAAACCTTGAACCCCAGTCGAAATTCTCACAAACTGCTCTGTTCTCGCCAAAACTCCCTCTGTAACTCTCTCTATTTGGTAGACTTTTTCGTGTAAAAGTTACGACAATATGTAACCCTAGGTTTAACATATACTGAGGTATTTATAATTGCAAAATTAAAACCCTAATCCATAGAGCCCTAACTTCGTCGGCCCACAAAGTAACCCAGTTTAGATACATATCAGATGCTTACGAGACGGCTCCAAAAACCCTAACTAGAACGTATCTAAAACCCTAGTTAATGGGAATTACATAATTACCCTGTTCAAAAATTAAATACTTAATAAATAATTAATTTAATAAAACCCATTAATTAAATGAAATAAGCAAGCAACGAATCACTTAAAACACATAAAATAAATAAAACAATTAATTAAAATAAACCAACAAATAAAGAATTACACCCTTAATTAAAATAAACAAACAATTAAAAAAATAACACAATGAATTAAAATAAACAAACAATTGGACACATTAGCATATAGATACAAAATCAATTTAATATGCACAAAAATAAAATTTAAATTCCATTTTTATCGCTTTTGAAATTAAGGGTATTACAATAGTGTCCATGTAATTACAAGAAATATTTATATATATGTATGTGATGGCAATCAATGCATGATATATAAATAGTAATTATAAATTGTTCATAGTCGGTAATTATGGATGGACCCATAATTAATTAAGACTTGAACTGGATCCGCGTTAGGTTGAGATATATTGCGAGAGCCGTCGTATGCAATTACTCCCTATCACCGTCATGGCATTTGACTCTTAAGCATGAGAAAAGTATAGACTCTTTTATTAATTAATAATTACTTTGATTTGTTCGGCGGATTCTTCGGGATCCTTAGACCGACACTTCGGGTAGTTATGTAATTAATAGTTAGAGGGTTATATTTTCAATATTTGCATCATTGCTACTTGTATTTATTTTGTATTGATTATGGTTGATCACAAAGTAAATTCGAAGGCCTTCGTATAATTTTAGACAAAATGATTTATTATATATTTTTTTATTAAATTATTATTTTTGTCGAACAAATGTTTTATTGTGATCGAGCCAGAAATAATCAAAGGTACCAAAATATATATATTAATTAAGCAGTCGGATTGATGGCATTATTTATCCGATAACTAATTATGCATAGAGGGGTCAAAGTGCAACATTGACTTAGAGGTTATTTATTATTTAATTGGAGTTCAATTAATTTCTTTTAGTGGAGTAGAAATTAAATTATGAATTAATTTAATTGGGTCCATGGACCGGGCCAATCATTAATTTATTGTAGCCAATAAAATAATAGGCCCAATGGATTCTCACTCATAGCCCAACTTGATATTGGAATCATATTAGATTTGAGACATGTGAATTAGAGATTGAGAAGGATTAGTTGTTTCCTTTTCTTTACCTTTATGTTACCTATAAATATACATGGTCTATGTATATTTTAGGGGTGATTTTGATGAGAAGAAAAAAAGGAATAAATTTTCTCTCTCTAGAAAATTAGGGTTTATATTCTCATTTAATTGAGGCTCCCACAAGCCTAGTTATCCAAGGTCATTCATGGAGGCATTTGAGTGATTCCTAAAGGCAAAACAATTACCAAGAAGATGGAGATCCAAGGAGAATGCATCTTGCTAAGGAATCTACAATAAGTGAGAACATTCACTTTAGAGGAGAGATCTAAGGTTTACTCAAACCTTGATGTAAGTATTTAATCTTTTAATTGAATGATACATCATGTTTTATTTTTGCATGAAACTTGTCTCTATGTAATGAATCAAGATTTATGAATTTAAATCCCTCGAAAAGTTTTTAAAACTAGCATGTTTCCCAACAATATATACATACATGCAGATAGAGATAAAGATGGAGAAAGAGAGAATTGATGTAAATGATGGATTTTGGGAAGATTGGAGTTAAATGATGGGGAATGTTTGGCTGGGGTTGTGTCTAATGGTAATAGGACACTATGGTCTTTTAGCTTTTAAGAGGGTTGTATGGTCATGTAATTAAGCTTGGGTTGTTTAACGATCAAAATTAATCCACCGGATGGGATAAATTGCAACCAAAGTGCTAGTTTGGGGATATTTTGCTACATGGATTATAGCTGAAGGGTGGTTTATTGGATTTTACTATGCTTTTTATGACAAAATTAGAGGAGCTGATGATCATACTTTCTTGCAGCAGTTGATAGTATTACTCACCATAGTTGGAGAAGTTGTGGAAAAACAATGCCATCGGATTTCACCAAGCTATGATTTATCTAAGGAAATGTTAACCAGATTTATAAGCATCACAACTTATGTAGTACGAACACAAGATACGAATATAATACGATACGGATACATTAACAGGTCAAATTTTAAAAAAGTAGAACCCGAGTACAATGTGGACACGTTACATATAAATATAAATATTTATTTTGATATATCTATCCAGTAATAATATTATAAAACTTTAATTCATTTATAATTTCTATACAAAGAGTTGCTCTAAAATGAATTAGAAAATGATATTTTGTCAATATTATAATGATTTTTATATCATATATACTAATATTTTATTTTGTCATAATAGTATTTATATTATTTTTAATATTAATGGGTAGACTTATATTAGAAATGTCTGTATCGATAAAATGTTCGAGAAGTGTCAGCTAAATATTTGAAAAGTGTCAGCAAAATATTTGAAAAGTGTATATGAAATAATAAAATTAATTTTAATTTATTCACACATATAAAGTGTCGAATACACATCTAAAAAGTATCTGCGTCTTACACAAGTACATTTTCTTCGTTAAAGTGTCTGTACTACCTAAATCACAACTTGGAGTTTGTTAAACACAAGACTCAAATCATTCACTGAGGAAAACGTGAGAAATAAAAAAGGGCATACCTATCCTGCAACAGCAGAAAACAGTGGGCTGCTTTCACAAAAATGCTCTCTCTCTCTCTCTCTCTCTCTCTCTCTAAAGGTTTTCAACTGTACTTTCATTTAGAATTTACAATCTCACACCGACCTACGCCCAAGTTTTTTTATTTTTTATTTTTAATTTTATGTAAAATTTCTACCATCATTTGTAAGATTGTTTCACCTCTCGAGGGTGGGCAACTATCAAATCAAATTGATGTGGAATTAATAGGTCCACAACACTACAAACTTCATTGAAGCATGTGAGTTGTGAACTACTCCCCCAGTCACCTTTCCTTTTTAGTCTAATCAATTTGGTACCAAAATTTAAATGACGAAGAACTTGACGCCAAAATTATCACCCAACCCCACTGATCTAATTTTTCTTTCCATTGTAGTAATTAGATCAAAGACATGTCCTTTCAAGTGAAATAAATTTCGTTTGAATAAAGTCAGTAAAACGTGAATGCCTTGTTAGGTGGTACATTTTATTTTTTTCATTGAAGCCAACTGTTTGACAGACGGTTATCAATACATTGATAAAAATGAATGGAATTTCAAAAAGAAAGGATCGTGGTGGTCCCCGGATTGTTCGATACCAGTATTCCCAACCATTGTTCAATACCGGGATTCCACAAGTCAATCGCAGAGAAGTTATACGCATAGGTATAAGGTGCGCCCTAGCCAATCAATTAAAATGCACCACCAAATTGATTAAGAATCAGTTTTTGTGAGTACGTGGGAGTCTCGGGAGTGAATTGTAAGAGTTATGTGGGGGCAAAATGTTGGAAATATATATATATATATATATATATATATATATAGAATAAAAAATTATTTTATGGTCTTGTGTATTATGTTTTCTAAAATAGAATTGGAATGTGATTATTGATATTTAATGGATTGGGTTGTACTTTTCAATTTGGTTTTCTAATTGAGAATATGATTTTATACCGTTAGATTGTGGTTTTTCAACCTATTTGGTGTGATTTAATTCTAAGTATTGATATCTAAGTTTTCATAATAGAAAGAGAGACTTAGGTACGTTTGTATGATAACCAAAACCTCTCTTCAATTCATGATAAATTTTTGATTTTTACATGCTAATTTTTATTTAAACCCAACAATTGATATCAAAGTCAAGTTAGGATTTGTAGAAATTAAAATAGTAAAGATTGATTTATGATCTATCCATTTGACATTCTCATATATTTTAATATTTTTAACATTACAAGTAAATTCATCATAAATTTTGACATAGAAATTGTAAGAATTATGTGGGGCCAAAATAGCCATTTAGCATTTTTTAGATATTTTAATATTTTTAACATTATAAGTAAATTGACAATAAATCCTGCCATAGGGAATCTTTGCAAATAATAAAAAACAAACCTCAAATTTATTTGTAATTAGATTAAACCTCAAATTTATTTGTAATTAGGCCAAACCTTAGGAGAGGTCATTATAGTTTACCCTACTTTCCTTTGACCGTAAAAATTACCTATTGGATAGCTTGATTATAGGAATTGTATATTTTAATTCAATATTTTGTAAATCTTTTTTATAAATACAAATGGAGGCAACTGCAAAATCACATCAAACTAGTTAATTTATATCTTTACACCAACTTAAATAATGCATGTAACAATCCGCAAATAAGCAGGCTATACCCTGAAGCCCAAAAATTTCTTACACACTAGACAAAAGCCTAAAACCTTATAAAGCAGGTCTCAAAAAACAGGCGCAGCCCACATGTAGAAGTGACCGATGGAGCAACCGAAACTTTTCCAAAACCATAGCGATGCTTCTGGAAATGCTCAAGGTGATAAAAATTGAGCCACCTCTTTTCAACCTGAACGGCATAACCACACACAAAAAAGGGATTAAAAAAGAAAATTTGAATAGTCAGAACCAAATGGTATGTTAGTCAACTGCCTCAAATTTAGCCAGCAACAGAACTGCCACAAACCCATAAACAATTTTTTTTTTTAAAAACCAAAACATATAAATAGAAAACCTAAATATTCGAAAGAAAATTTGTTTAAACAAGCCATAACATTATGAGTTATGATCCAAATGATCCAAAAACGTAGCAGAGCAATTCCAAAACTCTCCCATACCTAGGCAACTAATGAGAACCATTTGACATGCCATGATCCTCCCAACAAATATAGAAACAAAACCAGTAAAGTTAACATAACCAAAAGTAAGCATATGGTCTGTCCGAGCTGTCTCTTGCGCACCTTGTCTGCAAAAGTAGTCACAATACATGTTGGCCGCTCATCCCTGTTCTGGATTCGGAGGGTTGACCTCTGATGTCTCACCATAATAAGTGTTAAGTTTCCGTTGCTTCAATTTCGGTCTTTCCTCAAAATAAGGCACAACTACAGGCTCTTTCCCCTTCGCCTCCAAGCTCAATGGCATTGCAACTGTCGGAACAAGATTTGGTGTTGCAGATAAGAAAGATTGGTCATCCATTGGATCAAAATTAGGGGTTGTAGTAGTAGACATGAAAGATCGGTTCAGATTGACTATATCATCCTTCATTATATCAGCAAAACACTCTTTTCAACTTCATAAGCCTGAAAATTAAATACACACACTGATCAGAATCTTCAGCTTAATTTGCACTAGATGTTTGCAAATGTTTAGAAACTACCGAGCAGCTAGCTGCACCTGGTGAGTTGGATCATCAATACATGTCTTTGGTCATTTTAATGAGTTAGTCATTAATTCTTATAACACATCATTACTATACATATATATAAAGACATTAGAAATGAAGAAACTAAAGATTTAGAAAACTATTAAGGAATGTTGTTTCTACTGTTCATGTCTAGTTATTTAGGAATCAACAATGTAAACTGTGAGCAGTACGCAGCGGAATATTTAGAAAGTTTTGATTATTTTAAAAATAGATTTTGTATTTTTCTAACTTTTTGTATTTTAGCAATTAATATATTAATATCATATAATATAAAGTAAAGCAAAGTAAAGTTAGAGAAGACACTAGGATTTTAACGAGGAAACCCCAGTTGATAAAATACATCAACTGTTTGCGTGAGAAAAACCTCGTGGACTGTGCAATCCAAAGTAAACCGATCCACTATACTTAAAACAAAGTATACTGAACTTTGACTCTGGTTCACACCCTATCGTTGTACCAAACATCAATTGCTGACAATCCTCTGGCTTTACGACTTCCAGTCCAACAGCGACTTGATCTCAGGCTTATGCTTGATCTTTGTAGAAGAGTAGCAGGGAGATCAGACAACACTCCTCGAATGCCCCAACCCTTTCAAAGTGTGATCGCTTTTATTTTTGTTCTTCAACTTCTGGATTTGATGTAAAAGTAGATATGTTTTTGTCTGATCGATGTAGATGCAACTAAATGATCACGATCAAGATTTGAACACCACAACTCTAAACTCACTATGTGTTTATGTGTATGTGTTCTAGAAAGACAAACAGACAATTCTTTAAGAATATTTTAAACAAAAATCTTCTTAAGGCTTTTAAAAATAATAAACTGATAATGCAAGCCGTGAATAAACCTATGTGTATGACAACGTTTATATAGAGTTTTATAATGTCCTAGTCCCTCTGAAAATATGATAAAATTCGTGCATAGGACTTTGAACAATTCTAGACCAATTAGGAGAGAAATTTGAAACAGGAAACTGAACTTTCTATAAGCTGTCAGGACTCTTGAACCGGGTTAGGAATTTGGGAACTGGTTCAAGTATGGCAGAATTAATTCGAAGGCAAAGCTGAAGAGCTTGAACCGGTTCAGGAATATGGGAACTGGTTCAAGTGTGGCAGTGAAAAATAAAAGCACCTTTAAAGATGCTTGAACCGGTTCCAAAAAGCTTGAACCGGTTCAAATCTGCCAGACTTGAATCCTAAGGCTAAAACTTGGTAATAACACTGATTTGGAATTTTCGGAAAATATACCAAGTATGGAACGTGTTCTAACCTTTTTAGATTTCTTCCTAAAGTGTTGTTCTTTCCTTTCTGTGATGATCTCAATTATGACATCTTTGAACAACCTTCCAATTCCATAGTGCCGTCGATCTTGATAACTTTCATTACAAGTAACTTGAATTATAACTCGACTTGGACTTGTTTTGTTTACGATAATTGCCAAATACAAAAAATATCTCACAATCTCCCCCTTAGGCAATTTCGTGACAAAACCCTAAAAACAATTTGAATAATCTATCCAAAGCAGAAAAGTGAATTACAAATTGGTTTAAAGCTAAAACATGGAATATAACTGTTCTCTTCTCTTCTTGGATATATGGCTTGACCTAAATTCCTATTCAATATCAAGCAACAACTATTAGTGAAGTTTAATAAATAAAAATTTATAAAAACTTCCCCTTAAGTAAATATCCAAAAAAAAATTATTCTCCCCCTTAACATCACATTAGTTCTCCCTCTTTTTGTAACAAATTGACAAAGGATAGAGTCAAATAAGAGAAACAAATAAAACAGCCAAACATGTTATTAAAGCATATACCAAGAATATCCAAAAATAATGACCATGTGAATAAGTGTATGATGTCATGATGCATGATAAATAAACACAAAAGACAGCATCATTATCTTCCCAACCACTATGTTAGAAAAATATCATCTTTAATCTTCTCCACTATCCTCCTCAGCCTCCTCATCATCCTCATCCTCATCCCTATCTGAATAGCCATCCTCATCCTTAGCTCTCATAGACAGATCTGGAGGAGCAGGCCTATAAACATCCTCAGTAGGAACCTCTGACTACTATCCTCTCATCTACCGTACCTTAAGTTTGAGATCTCTAAGGTCAGCCATCATCATCTCTTGGTTCCGAAGGATAGTCTACTGATTCTGAAGCAGAAAAGAATACAACCGGTTTGCATTTGCTTTAGAAAAATTTCCTTTGGGAGGAAATAACTGAGTAATCTCTGGAGCTTGTGAAGAACCCTTACCAGCAACTCTCTTAGCCTTTCTAGCATTTTCCCGGACTGATTTTGACTTGTTCAGAGCACTAGTGTCTAACTCAGTCATAATACGCTGATGGTATACTCTTGGAGGAATCAAAATATTCTTCAATTTGTAAACCTCCATGATGATCATAGGAAAAAGTGAAGAATTTCGGCACGAGATTTTCTTGAAGTGAGCCATCATTAATTGCACAATTGATGGTGCAAGTAGATTAGTCTCATTATCAGCAAGAAAATATAGAACTTGCGCTCTCTCGAGAGTAATCTTGTCCTATTTCCCAAAATACCCGAGGTTAGCTATAGCGAACAAATTAAAGAACGCTGCCTTATTTGTCAGAAATCGAGCTGGAATGTAATCATCACTCCTTAAAGAATTTGGAACACAAATCTTTTCTGCAATCACCTGTAATTCACGACCTGAGACTTCTAATGGTAGAACAGACTTCTAATGGTAGAACTTATCCAGTCAGCTGATCTCTAGCAGGAAGGTCCAAGATAGATTGAATAGCTTCTTCATCAACCATATAATCAATACCAAAAATTGATACAATGAAGCAAGTATCCTTAAACTCTTGAATATTGGCATAGAAATAGTGTACCATATCCAGAGAAAGGTAGTTCTTGCCATGCTTGGTAAAAAATAACCATTTGTTGGTTTCAATGTATGTCACAAGCTTTTGTCCAGCAATGTCACAAAGCTTATCTAAATTGACATTCCTATCAGTTTTGATTGGACCATCCTTGTAGTAGTCAATATAAGCATTCCATGCATGTTCATTGTAGAAGTGACTTAGTTCAAATTCAACCTTTCTTGTTGTTGACACAGATAGATACCCAGATGGTACCTCTTGAGAAAACGAGTTAGTTGTTCTAGGAGTTAATGTCCTTCTTCTTGAAACATTTGAACCTTTTTGGGGTTCTTGAATGTCAATGCTTATTCTGGGTCTCTTGGGAGGCTTTGGGTGTGCAATCCCTTTGCCTTTAGCTTCCTTGGAGGGTTTAGGAACCATTTGATTCACACAACTTCTTGTTTTGAAGCTACAAACTCTTTCAGTAATTTTATCAAACACCTTTTGTGCAACGCCAAAGGTGTTTATAGATAAAGCTTGATTTGCTCTTCAATCCTCCCAAAAACTTAACAACAATGCAAACTTATAATCCTGAGCACAATTCGAAGCTTCAACTAACCCAAAAATCAAAACAATTAACCAATCCTCTAAGTTCTTCAAACCTACACTCCAACTTTAATCTCCAACCCATTTTTCAAGTTTAATCTTCAACAACATATAATAGTTCTTCAATCCTCAATGATATGCATGTATGCAAGATATGTTATGGAATGATGAACAAAATATATAGATGATGTATATATGTGGGTATATGAGAGTTATAAGAGATGTGAGGAAGAAGGGGCAAAAATCGCACCTAGAGAAAGAGAGAGCAAAGAGCCTTTACAGTGCGCACAACAGGCCTTAAGTGCCTATGCCCAAAGCCTTGAACCGATTCCCAAACATTGGAACCGATTCCAGACCTACAGTCCACTTTGGTTTTAGGCCAGTGGATAGTTTGAACTGGTTCCCAACTTTTGGAATCGGTTCAAGACCCATAGTTTTGAAACCTTGTGTTCTTTCTGACAAAAAAAAACTTTTTTGAATTACCTAGAAATTATTCTAACGCATCGATGATTAAAAAATCAACACAGAAAAATCTAGAGACCTAAAAATCAAAATCTTTTTGAATTTCTCAATTTTTTGAATTTATTAATTTTTTAAATTAAAACAACAAATTACCAATCATTAAAATCATTCGGGCAACACACGATTCAAAACCCTTTCAGAGAATTTTTAAAAAATATTTTAGAGAACAAATATTTGACTCCACAGACTTTTCAAATAATTTCAAATCTTAGAAAGTAATCACAACATGAAATCAAACTTGCAAATTTTACTGAAAAATTTATAAATTAATCTAGCAAGTTCTTGTGTGTGTGTGAAATCTAATCTAATTCATTTCCAGTTGAATTTCAATAGATCATTGTCTAAACCTTATTGATCGAAAAGTATTAAGATAAAATTATTTTGAGCAATTTTTCTAAGTAAGGTAGTTTTCACATTAAAGAGTAGTCAACAATTCCCCAACTCAACTTATCTCAATTTTTAGCTTCAATTCACAGTCTAATGGGAGTTTTCGATCAAATCTCAATAGGTAGCATTTTCCTTAGCAAAGTATTCAGAAACTTTCAAAAAAATTTTCTTTCTTTTCAAGCTGAATATTTCTCAAAAATATTTTTAAGCTCCTATTATTTTTTTTTTTAATTTTTTTTTTAAGACAATAGCATTTATAACTTTTGTGAACAATAAACCCTAGTCAACAGATCAAAAGATTTTCAACCAAATTTGTCAGAGTTGGACTAGCGCACAAAAGTCTATGAACTTAAGAGATTCAAATCTAAAAATCCCTTAATCAATGCAAATCATCTTTCATTGTATAAATTACAGACCAAGAATTTATTTTTACCCAAATTATCATGTATCTCAATTTGCATTCAAAAATAGATCATAAATACCTTAAAAGAATTTTCACATGTATATCAAGAAGATTATGATCAGAAATTCAAAACACTAACCAAACCCTAACAAGTGATCCATTAGTAACAAAATTTTCTTTTGAGCACAAGCCATGATCACTGAATTTCATAGGACTCAGTTTAAAGGTGAAGTCCTTTCGGAATCTAGTTCCATGGACTTAACAGGCACAAAATTGATTAAATCAGTCTTTTTGATCCACACAGTCTTTATTCTCACTTCCTGAAATTCTCTCTTATTCTTTACCTCTTTCTTAGGCAAATTTTCAACTTTAGAAAACTTAGGTGCCACAAAATTTTATTTATTTATTTATTTATTTATTTAGAAAACACTTTTTTCTTAACTTGAATATTATGAGAATAAGTTTTCGAAGACTTTTCTTTTTCCTTTGAAAGCATGAGTGATACTTATGTCCAGTCGTACCACAGAAAGTGCAATGCAATAGTTTAGACATATAAGACATATCAGAATGCAATGACTCAGGCAAATATGGTTTAGGCAAATCAACAGGTTTAACAAAAATTGTTTTACCTTGACCACTAGATGAACCTTTAACAAATCGTAACCTAGTTTTATCATTTACATTCTTTCACATGTTGATTATCTTATTCAAATTATTTTGACTCATATTGAATCCTTTCAGCTTATCGTTTTCAGATTTCAATTCAATTTCAAGATAATCATTTTTCAAAGGAAGACATTCCTTTAACAAGTTAGCAATACTTACCTTATCCTCAAGAATAATGATCTTCTTCTCAAGTTCAGTGATGACAGAATTGCTTTCAAAAGCTTTCATCTTGTCTTCATCAATCTGTTTCCTTAGATCTTCATTCTCTCCTTTTGTTTGGATAAGTTCCTTTGCTAGCTTATTGATTGCCTGTTTGACTTCCATGGTTTCTTTGACCATCTTCTTCAATCTTTCATCATCATTTTCAGTCTCTTGCACTTGTTCATCATGAACCTGATTGTCTTCATTATCTGAAATATCAGAGTCAGATAAAGTAACGACATGAGGACCTCTTTCAAGAAAAGCGACATAAGAAAAATCATTAGTATCATCATGAGGAGAATCATTATCACTTAAAGCAGAGTTTTCAGATATAGAAACTTTTATTGTTTTTCCTTTATTTCTATTATTTTGTTCTTTCCTAGGACTAGGACAAATATTGGATGTGTGACCTTTGCCACCATAATTCTAGTAAGTGAATTCAGTTTCTTTTGATTTTTCTACTTTCTTTTCATTAAACCTAAAATTGACGTCTTGTCAAAATTTTGAGGATTGGCCATGTAGCCATTCCTTCTCCTCTGTTATCTTTTGCAAGATTTGAGAGAATTGTCTTGACAGAAAAACAAAATCATCATCAGAGTTATCATCCACAGAATTCTCAACCTGTGTTGATTTTAAAGAAAGATTTTTCTCCTTCTGATTTAAATCGAAGTTCTGCATCTCAAAGGTTTTCAATAAACCTACAACCTCATCAACTTTACAGGAAGTTAAATCCCAATGTTCAGTGATGGTTTCAACCCTAATCTAAAATCTTTTAGGTAACAACCTTAAGATTTTCTCACGGATTTTCTTATCACTAACTTTTTTTTCGTAAGTGACGCAGTTCAGAAATTATTTCAAGAATACTAGAATAAAAATTAGAAAAAGATTCATCTTCTTTTATCATGATGTTCCCAAAGTTATAAGAAAGCATCTGAATTTTGGATAACTTCACTTTTGAAGTCCCTTCATGAGTAACCTGCAAAATATCTCAAGCTTCTTTAGCAATTTTACAATAAAAAATTCTAGCATATTCAGATGGAACAACAAAATTAATAATTGCATATAAAACTTTTCCATTAGCATCATTATGCTCAATTTCAATAGTAGTAAAAACAAAAGCATCTTTTAACTCTTTGACTTCTTTACCATTCACAGTTTTATCTATTGTAGGTGGTGTATAGCCAGATTCAACTATTGCCCAAGTTTTACTACCAGAATTTTGCAAATAAACTCTCATCTTGGATTTTCAAAAATTATAATTATCTCCTTCAAACAAAGGACCACGTTGATTAGAACCACCTTTTTTCAACGCATATGACTTGATTAAAAATCAAATTTTGAAATCAAAACAAAACATTCCAACAAGGATCAACTCAATGTGTAGAAATTGGCTCTGATACCAATTTGTGAGTCGTACGCAGTGGAATATTTAGAAAGTTTTGATTATTCTAAAAACAGATCTTGTATTTTTCTAAATTTTTTTATTTTAGCAATTAATAAATTAATATCATGTAATATAAAATAAAGCAAAGTAAAGTTAGAGATGACACCAGGATTTTAGCGAGGAAACCTCAGTTGATAAAATACGTCAACTGTTTGCGTGGAAAAAATCTCGTAGACTGTATAGTCCAAAGTAAACCGATCAAGTATGCTTGAAACAAAGTACACTGAACTTTGACTCTGGCTCGATCACACCCTATCGTTTTACCAAACACCAATTGCATGCTGACAATCCTCTGGCTTTGCGACTCCCCGTCCAACAGCAACTTGACCTCAGGCTTATGCTTGATTTTTGTAGAAGAGTAGCAGGTAGATCAGACAACACTCCTCGAATACTCTAACCTTTTCAAAGTGTGAGCGCTTTTACTTCTGTTCTTCAACTCCTGGATTTGATGTAGAAGTAGATCTGCTTTTGTCTGATCGAAGTAGATGCAACTGAATGATCACGATTAAGATTTGAACACCACAACTCTAAACTCACTATGTGTTTATGTGTATGTGTTTTAAAAAGACAAACAGACAATTCTTTAAGAATTTCTGAGACAAAAATCTTCATAAGGCTTTTAAGAATAATAAACTGATAATGCAAAAGCAGTGAATAAACCTATGTGTATGATAAGGTTTATATAGAGTTTTAGAATGTTCTAGTCACTCTGAAAATATCATAAAATTTGTGCATAGGACTTGGAACAATTCTAAACCAACTAAAAGAGAAATCTGAAACAAGAAACTGAACTTTCCATAAGCTGTCAGGACTCTTGAACCGGTTCAGGAATTTGGTAACTGGTTCAAGTATGGCATAATTAATTCAAAGGCAAAGCTAAAGAACTTGAACCGGTTTAGGAATATGGGAACCGGTTCAAGTGTGGCAGTGAAAAATAGAAGTAACTTTGAAGATGCTTGAACCGGTTCCAAAAAGCTTGAACCGGTTCAAGTCTGCCAAACTAGAATCCTAAGGCTAAAACTTGGTAAAAACACTGATTTGGAATTTTTGGAAAATATACCAAGTATGGAACGTGTCCTAACCTTTTTAGATTTCTTCCTAAAGTGTTGTTCTTTCCTTTTTGTGATGATCTCAGTTATGGCATATTTGAACAACCTTCCAATTCCATGGTGTCGTCGATCTTGATAACTTGCATTACAAGTAACTTGAATTATAACTCGACTTGGACTTATTTTGTTTACGATAATTGCCAAATACAAAATAATATCTCACATAAACAAGCATTAGAATTTTTGAAACAGAAGGGAGTGAGTGGAGAACACAAACCTTGTGATCCGTGGATTCCTCCTCCTGAAAAATCTCTCTTATAAATCTCTCGAAGAGATTCGGATTCAGAATCAATCTGTTCAACCAAAAGATTATTATACCTAAACTCCTTGGGAAAGCACTCATCTGCCTTGGCCCCTTCAGGCACCGATGATTGTTGCCATGGAGTGTTGTTGAGAGGAAGCTCTTCTGGGATAAACAGAACATCTTCAGGCACTGATACTCGCTGGTTGTCACTTGCACTGCTGTTTAGAGGAAGCTCATTTTTCCTTTTAAGGCGGCAAACAACCATTGTATCCTAAAGTACGTCTTATACAGTTACCTTTTCATTGATCAATTGACTATTTCATCATGATTGCTTAGACACAAGTTTAGAAAATTAAGTCACACGACCTTGTCAATTTTTGTAAGTCTTTCCAAGGCAAATTTGTCAGAACATAAGCTTATCAAAATAAACTCTATCCTATTGTCAATTTGATCAACTCAAAACATAGCACCATTTCTTATTCATTAAACA